CAACAGAAACTATCAAAAGATACCAGCGAAAGTGTGAAATGCCCCCCGCCCAACTCCTTTAAGCCGAAGAGCAACAAGGTGAAAACTTGCTCACCTTGATCCTGGGATGTAGTGAGCGGGCCAACTTCACGCGTATTGCGAGCCCTATCAAAGTGGCCATGGAGCAATGTGGGATTGTTGGCGTGAAGCGTACCTATAAAAGAGTATAAAAACAAATGCGGGTGAAACATAACAAATAGAATGCAAAAAAATACTGTGTTCATATCACAAGAATGCTGAGATATTGGCAAAAGTCGGACACGGGACGGGACTCCTGTGATAGCTGATGATGATAACTGCGATTCTTGTGATAACTTTCGGAGCGCGCACTGCCGCGTTAAACAGCAAACAGCAGAAACAGCAGTTAATAAACTAGAACAGCTTCAGAACTGTGTTCATATTTTACGTTTGGGCGACAGCGATTTGGAAGAAAGAAAAGATTTGGAAGAGAGAAGAAAGGATCTAGAAGCATTGGCGACAAAAGAGTAGATGCAATTTCGTCCTCTTGGGCGGACACCAGGCGGACTCCGTCCACTTGGGCGGACACCCCAGAATCGCGAATTCGCGCGATCAATATGTAGACCTTACTTCCCGCGCGAGCGATGTATGAACACGGATCAGTCCTAGGCTTAGTGCTAAAAATAATCCCGAAAAGTCGGAGTATTATCGAACAACCACTTACGTCCACATAGGTATGCTTAGCATCCTTCTGTACTCTGATGAGCTCCTTCCTGAACAACATTGAGCTGCTCAAGCGTGTATGGATGCTCAGGATCATTAATGTCACGGATTAGATCGAATATTTCCAGAGCATCAATAGGATCTTCAACGGACTCGTCCCTGAATTCAATCAAACTTAGCAGTCTGAGCTCGCTCATTCGCTCATAAAAACCCCTTCATAACAATTACCCTTAGTTGGGAAATAAATGTAAATATAAATAAATATGTGTCATATATGGCAGGTCCGAACTCACATCTCACTGGCCGTGTTGGTACGTTCACGAGGTTTCACTGAGAAGATTTGGGGATTCGCATTTTCGAGCCTTTCAACGCCCATTTTGCTCTGAAAGCACTGAATACACGTAAGATAAAGTAGTATCAACGATGTTTTGTTATGATAACTGCTGTTTAACGCCGCAGTACGCGTTCCGAATGTTATCACAAGAATGCTGAGTTGTGGGCAAAAGTCGTGCCCCAGGCGGGAGTCGAACCCGCACCTCACGCCGACACCACAAAGCGTGAGGTGCGGGTTCGACTCCTGCCTGGGGCGCAACTTTTGCCCACAACTCAGCATTCTTGTGAGTATCAAGCGATATTATCATAACAATTTATTATTGGCTGTAGGATTATAGAGCATCGAATAGCACAGAGTCACCAGCAGAACAAAAAATTCTTCGATAGATAAAACAAGGCAATGTTGGGGCTAAACCTTGCCAAAAGGGAGTGGAGAATCTTCTGCGCTGTAGGGCAGTGGTCGCCAACACGGCAAGATCATACGGGCGCAATTCTTCAAGAGCTCTGGATATATGCTTAACAAGTCCGCCAACATAAATGAAAAAAAGTAAGCCAATAGGTACTCATGAAGTCATTTTCCATCATCGCGCATGTGAATAGCACCCACGTTCCTTTTGACATCATTTGGATACGTGCCCCTCCCAAAGCTATCCACCTAAGGCTAAAGTCCCTGTTTTTACCTTCCTGGGACAACAACAGCAAACCCTGGATGGGGAATTTGGTTCGTCGAAATCATGTTCGGAATTCGATCTACGGGTTATCTCATTGTTACTCCCCAGCCCTGTTTTCCCTCTGGAAATAAGAAAGGAAAACGCAAGTGAGTGAGTTAGCTCCCACACGCATGAGGCAATCGGAAAAGTGAGGATTAAGAAAAACGCGTACTGTGGAATACGAATTTCTGCATTTACAGGCAATTGTTATTCAACTCACTCTCTTCTTTACCGGGAGGCTTCAGGTACGTAATCGCTTTCGCGGCTTAGGTCAACATATCGGTGTCGGGTCGAAGTCACAGGGGGGTAATTGAGGCTGAGAAAAATTATTTTGTAGTTGATTTTCTGGTTCGTACTGATCTTTGTTGTGGAGGAGGAGGGGCGGCGGATTACTTCCTTGGACTTCTGGAGAGGTTAGTTATTTCGGTTTTCTGTTTCAATGTTAATATATACAGCCCCCCCCCGCTCATAGCTCGATTTAGGAGGAAGAGATGCGGCGAAGAGGCGGGTCGCAGGACTCGTCCAAATCCTCAACCAAGTGATATGCCCTGGCTAGGTGAGGATGGTCTGAATACCATTGCAGTGATAGGATTTCACTGCGCTACCTCTGATATCGAGCAGTGAGCCCTTTCTACGGGAAATGCGGAATTCGGGATTGCTGGAAACCGAAAAGTAACTCAGAATTGCTCCGCGAGAAGAGGTACACCCTCTCTATCTGTCAGAGAATCAGGATTCCAGATTTTTCTTTTAAATTTGAACTAGGAACCTTATGATTCCAGTCCTTAATCCCCTATCTGCCTCTGCTTTGTTCATCGGAGCAGAACTGTTCGAGCGAATTGCGGCAATACTTGTGAAATTTCCAAGATTGATTTAACCATAGAGCAAACTACCATGAATTTAGCCGTGGCGGTGTAAGGCTAAGCTCTGGTTGCCTTCAGCTGGTTTCTTCACCGATAGCTGACCCTTCGATCGGACTCGCGCTCAATTTGACAATGAAATTTCACTATTCTTTGCATATCTCTGAGACGTGGCAGGCCATGTCCCTGTACTTCATTTGAACATGCCGTGACGCTAATCGTGGGGTGCTTCAATTTGAGACAACTCAGAGCTTGTGCAGGATGAGGATGAATGCCAAGAATCCTGATTTTGGTGAGAAAATGTCCTAGCAAAGCCACAGTAGCCATGTTCGTAGTTTCGCCTACCGCATCTCAGCGATTTGCGGTCCACTCCAAACAACGTTTTTTGATTAGAAATCGGGCTCAGTACCTGCGGTACTTTCGAGCTATCCATTCATCTCTGGCTGGTTAGATTTCCTCGAGTTCCAGTTCCATGAACGGCTGTTTCCCTTCCTTGGCTCATCTTCGGCTCAAGAGGCAATCGCGGTGAACTTTCTCCGGGATGATCCGGATAGATGACGTCTATTCGCCATCTATCAGGTTGTCTTGTTGCGTGGGCAGTTTTGCAGGCGACAGTATGGGTAATCACCGGCCATTTGGCCCAGAATCGTGTCTTCGACGGCTTGGCGCACGGCTGACTGCGCGGACACCGAGAGCGCATAATAGTAGGCCCGATTGAAGACGGACAGGTCAGCCTCAATCCTCAATTATTCGTCTCAATGTTCGTCACAAGGTGGGTGCATCGATCCATATGAACTTTCAATTGTTAGTGAATTAACCCAGGAGGAAAGCTAGAACCCATAAATTTGGAGAGCTTTTTCATGTACCCTGGACTCAGACAATTTTTTTTGCTTAGACCCTTTTGGATTCACGTCTTTGCGCTTTAATCATGGACCCAGGGGCTAAGTCAATGCTCTAAATGTTTACTCCTTGATAATGCAGTATTTCTATTTTTTTATTGGTTCATTTTCGGCTATCTCCCAAGGTATTTACATTTATGTCGATTAATCCACTTTCTTGACTCAGTATGAGGTCTCGTCAACCAAGAATGCGCCATGCAGTTTTGCCTTTTTTGCGCGAATAGACCATCCTTTGTCCATCAGCTCCTGGCATACACATTATTTCGGAGGCCTCCTTCTTCAGCGTTTATCAAACTCTGAAAGGGTCCTTTCTTTTAGTGAAGCCACTTCTTTCGACCGAATGCCTGCTCGGGGGAGGCGCCAGCTGTCTTCATGTCTGCATGCAATGTGTAGAGCCAGCGCTATTTGGGACGTCATTCAGATTCATCACATACGATACCAGTCCTAACGCGATACATTACCGTACCACTGACGGCGCCCTTTCAGATGAGTTAACAATTATGGCATCCACGACGAACGCGTGATGTTCGTTCGCCGTGTCAGCCAGTATTGGCCGCAGATGTCCCAAAACACTTAGTTGCACTTCTACGGTTTTCATATGTCACATTTTTCACTCAGTCATCGTCCTAGGAGTTATCCGGTACAGTGATCACGAATATGACATTCTCCCGAACCTCCCGCACCTCCCACCCTCCACGGTGCCATCACGGCGCCATTGTGGCGCCAACACCTTTTCCACCCATATTCGCCTTTTTCTCGTCAAGTTTCACTTTAGAATAGTCAGGGTTCTGTTCACAGTTATGACACTCACATTTAGCTCCATCACCATTAGGCGCCCCTGGCGTTGGAGCCAAAAAGCATGTCATTTTCGTAATCAGAAGCCAAGGAACTCCCGTAAATAAAATTAATATCGATCCCGTGGAAGGAGGGTTGGGGCCAAATGGCAGCGACCTGGAAAATGGTGTCATCTCAGTGTTCAGGGTCGTGTAAAATGCAATGATTCCTTTCCGGCAATCTTCGGTCCATTAGACGTCAATTTGGCACCGACACCATCGAATTAGTTGTGAATCACTCAGCTCCTATGGGCGACGGTTTAGCGGAAACAAGTCGAGATTGAGTGGTAAAAAACTGGTATAGTGC